CACAATCATTGGGAATAGATCCCAAGTTGCTGGGTGAAAGGCAGCATTTCAAGCCAAGTCTACTTTCAGTGCACTATTGGGTTGTTAATGTAATATGATACAAGTTTTACCAATTTATATTTCCGTTTGATAATTTATTACATTATCAAACTTATTATTAAGGATTCCCTATGGTTACACCCAAATGAGATTAATTCTCTAAGTTTTGAATTCGGTTAATTATTTACTTATTTATTGTGCAAATATAGTAATTAATTTATTGATTGCACATCTATAAATAAATATTTCAATCATTTCGTTTAAATTTGTTTTGATACATCTCATGTTCCTATTATAAGTTGTCTAATATTCACGATGAGTTTATTGAAGCAAGAAGTTGCAAAAGTGACCTCTCTTGTGTAGATTTATTTGTCGAGAATTTTAGATGTTTGTATTTGTATAGTTTCATGCGATTGTTTAATCGGCCCAAAGGAAGATTAGCATTTGGCAGAAATATATAAGTACCTGTGGTGGTAAATATATGACAATATATGGTTTATATCCATGTGAATAATATGTCTTTCAAAAGAGAGACTATTTTTTGACAGGAATTTTGTCAATATTTGATTACTACACAAAGGCGACCACTTACAAATTAATATTACTGTCCAAAGACTTGATATTGATGTTGTGCTAGGTGCCTTGAGATGTTACTAAGCTTATTTAAATTTGTATGATTGATGTGAGTATGTTGATTGTGTTATTATTATTCTCTGTTAAGTTATGATATATGGTACTTATATATCTGCTAATACCAACAACATTTCTAAGGTTAAGGGTTTTATTATTATTTTTTTATCCCGCTAAAGATCTATATTTGAGATGAAAAAAATGATATATAATTGAGGATGTTGAGTTTGGGGGAAGAAATAAGGCTAAGGACATTATCTTTGAGGAAGAATCATTTCGGATTTCTACTACTGCTTCTGACAATGTGCAGGTCTCTATTCCTGTAATTAGTCGAGAAGTAGATTTGGAACCTCAACAGGATAATGTCAAGAATCTCTCAACTCAAACTAGTTTAGTTATTCAGGATGAACAAACTCAAAAAAAAACCTCAATAACTTATGCCATTAAAGAGATACACTTGAGATTAAAGAAATACAATTTTTCGGATGATTATGCTTTCTTCAAGAGAATAAAGGCAATAATGACTTGAAAGAAAGTGATCTTATGGCATCAGTAGCATATTTTGATCTTGTATTTCATTAGATGGATATAAGGACGACGTTTCTCAATGGTGGCATTGATGAAACGATCCATATGGTACAACCAGAAAGCTTTGAGGTCGATGACCTGAAGAAAATGGTTTGTAAACTAAAGAAATCCATCTTGGACTCAAACAGGCATCTCGTCAGTGGTACCATAAATTTCATCAGGTAGTAATCTCATTTGGTTTTGAGACGAAAGCTGTTGATAATTGTGTGTATCATAAATTCAGTGGGAGTTTGATGTATGCTCGGGTCTTTACAAGACTATATATATCTTTTATTGTTGGTATAGTAGATAGATATTTAAGTAAATCTGGTATAGATCATTGGAAAGCAGCCAAACGGGTCATAAGATACTTACAGAGAACTAAGGATTACATGCTCACTTATTGAAAATCAGATCATTTGGAGATCATCGGGTATATTGATTCTGATTTTGGTGGATGTCAAGACAGCTGATTTTGTAGCTTGTTACGAGACATCCAATAATGGAATATAGTTGCAAAAATGTCACTGAGCTGCATATTATTGAGAACGTAGAAAGACCACTAAAGTTTTATTGTGACATCAATTCAGCAGCATTATATTCCAATTACAGTAGGAACTTAACTAAGTCAAAGTATATCGACATAAAGTTCCTAGTTATAAAATAAAGAGTACAGAGTGCACAAGTTGCTATAGAACATATAAGGACAGACTCAATGATTGCGGATCCGCTTACTAAAGGTCTAACACCCAAGGTCTTTCATGAACATACTGTTCGAATGGGTGTGACACAATTTCAAGATAGTTGGTTTTAGTGGGAGTTTGTATTAATTGTTCTATAGACACATTGTATATGTGTGTTTGGATATTTCTGATCAGATATAAAGTATTCGGTTTATTATACTCTGTAATTTTGGTTTTATATTGATCTCACTGTGGAATAAAGTGGCCAGTTGAAAATAGGCATGTAAGATCACATTACATGTAATTTTCATGCTACACTTCCATGATTGATCTATGTCATTTAATTGTATTGATATGTGTGATTATTGATGGGTTGATTCATGCTAAAAATGATGAAGGCCTCTTTAGTCCTATGTCATACGATTAATGGACGAGATTGGTAAAAGATACTCTTGTTTGTGACAACAAAGTTTGAGCTCATAAAGTAGTACACATTTGTTCGGTTGCATATGTAGTCCAAGTGGGAGATTGTTAGAAATATTTTATTGGACAACATATGTAAATTAAATGTGTATAGTTGTCATAATATTATTTAATTAAAGTGATCTACTAATTTGTAATTTTGAATAAAGAGAGTATCAAATTATTATGGATTTAAAAGTGTAGATACCATTATGTGATTTTCTGTTTGTTGAGGGACCGAACTGAAAATCAATATTTCTTATTTATTTGGTTATGGCCCCAAACGACGAAAAGACACGAGCAGATTTATGAAGGGGTGCTTTCTC